TGATGCTATATGTTATGCATATTTTTAAATACAAATTTAATCTAAACAACGTTCATATTATAAATAAATACATAACAATAAATTCGTTACAACTCCCTCCTTAGAGAATTAAAAATTGGCTTTAGACAATTTTTAATTAAGACATTATATATATATATATATATATGTGTGTGCCAGATTACATTACACATAATATATTATTTAAATGATTATACAACTTCAATAATAATTACAATAGAGAATACAACCAGTGCAAATCACCTTACCATCACCTTCACGTCCATCATTGTCCCTCATCAAGGTATTATCAGTAGGACGATCATTCACAAGATCCCCATCGGATCCAAAAAATGTCTGAGAGAAATCTATTATATCATCCTCTGAATCCATGCTTATAATTTGTTTTTGATTTAATTTCTTAGCCTGAGCCCGAGTCACAGAACACGAGGGAAACATATCGGAATTCTCCTCAACTACAACATCATCCTTAGATGAAACAGTGATCGGCTCACTAACCGTTTTAGGTTCGGCAACAACTTTTTCCTCTGCCAAATCGTATCCCAGCAACAATGACAAACCCTTAATTGGCAGAGTAGGTCTTACCCCAACCACAACTGGTCCCAAAACTAGGCCTGATGCTAAATAAATATTATGAAGACGAACATTAACAAAGCCACCCTCAATACCTTGAGCAACAACAGACTCACCAGTGACAGAACTCGAATCTAAAGGCAATACACCTTCTAACAACAATGATTGAGTCGCCCCAGTATCACGTAAAATAGATATGGGTATGGGATTGCCAGTGTCATTTGTCACAGACACAGAATCAACAGACACAAAAGGTCTAAATTCCTCCCTGATTACATCAGCCTTTATATCAGTGGCCAAATCAACAACATTGGGTGATCTGGTGAAACTACGTCCATATATGGAACAAATGAACTGGGTGTTGCCTCCTTTTCTTTCATATTTTTCAAACCCCAACAATCGGACATAACATGACCAGGTTTTTTACAAAAATGGCAGACAGGCCTTGATGATTTTGACGAAGTTTTAGACCACCTGTTTGAAGATTTCAAACTAGAGAAACCGTTTTGGAAGAATCCTCAACTTCAGTGGATTGAACAAGTGCAGGTTTTTGTTGAACTGGTAGGAATTTCTTTCTATGAAAAGTGGTTTTGTGTGTTAAAGTGCAGTCATCGGGAAGAGCAACTGCTTCCTGTAGTGTTTCAACTTTCTTTTCATCTAAGTAAGTTTGAGATCATCAAGTGCACAACGTTTAAATTCTTCAATTAGACATAATTGTCTTAGTTTGTCGAAACTATCGCCAATGTGCATCGAATTAAACCATCAATCAAAATAAACCTCTCCTCTTTTTCGTGGGCAAATTCCATATAAGTTTGATTATCTTGCTTGTGATAACTTCAAAACTTTTGGTGATAAGCCTCCGGTACTAACTCATATTCTTTTGAGAATAGCTGCTTTAACCTTATCATAATTTGTACAATCTTCTAAAGAGAGAGTGGCGTAAGCTTTATGTGCTTTACCAGTTAAGACACTTTGTAATGATAATAACCATTTTTCGGTGGGCCATTCCATGGTTTGGGCAACCTTTTCCAAATGTTGAAAATATTTTTCATTGAACGGTAGTACCTTAACATACTGATTAAGTTCAAAGTTGTCATTTTGCCTTCATAGATAAGTGTTGAGTCTAATTTCCATTTATTTCAGCCAAATTTCTTTTTTGGCTTCAATGCGAGCTTTTCCGACCACGAGACGTTTATTTCTTTTTAAGCTTCAATACGAACTTGTTCTTTCTCGGCTTCTATACATTTATTTTCTTTTTCAGCTTCAATACGAGCTTATTCTTTCTCTTTCTCGGTTTCGATTCGAGCCTGTTCAAGCTCGAGTTGTTTGAGTTTTCACTGAATTTCTAATCTATCTTTATCACTCAACCCCGATTGGCTAGTAGGGACACTAGAGTATTCCCCTAATGCTTCCTTGGGCAACAAATCATCATCGACTAGTATTTCGATAATACGCTTTTTTAGTTAAGTTTTTTCTCATTGATCTTTTAACTTCTAGTTCTAAAACTTTGGATATTTCAAGCAATTCATTTGTGTTATGTTTTTCTAGTTGTTCTAGAAAATCTTGATAATCCAACATGATCAAATCTTATTGGCACTGATAAATATAGATTCAATTACGATCTAAATTATAATTTAAATCTAATTTTTTCTCTGATTCAGATCTCGGATACGAGCCCCGAATTTATTATGTTACATATTGAGAATTTAAAACAGTCTGAAGCGTTAATTTATGCTAGTTGCCAACAAGATTGATACATACCGTCTTCGTTTTTAACACAAATACATTTAATATATATATATATATATATATACAACAGCACAATTTACAACAACAATTATTACGAATAATTACCACAAACAAAGTTTTATAAAAAAAAAAAATTCACTAACTTACAAACAACATAGAATCTTCTTTCTTGTTCAGAGTCTCCTTGATATCCAGCGAGTTAACTTGAAGTCGATGTACGTACAATTGACGAGAAGCTAACTAGCTTTGTCAGACATTGAATTGTTGGATCATGAAAGTAAGATTATATTTTCTTAAAACTACTAATGTCCAATGAGAATTCAGTAATACTTTCGGAAATATGCTATCGTCCGATGAGAATCTATTCACGTACGAAATTTAAAACTGTTCTTAGTCAAATGTCGCATAATTTCCAGTTGATAAGGGTTAGCAAAATCACGGTTTGTAGCATACATGTCATAACAGGTTCCTAGAAGAATTATATGCTCTCTTCTTTAGCCTTGGTCTTTTTATATGTGCGAGAAATGTTTTTCTTAAAAGTTCGAACAACAATACTGAACTATATTTAACGGTTACGGAAGTGGATATATTTTCGATTCTTGCATTCACGAATATTTACAACCTTGGAGAATTGGCGGGAGTTTCGCCATACGTAACTAACACTGTAAGCTAGGCACATTTTTACATATAAACTCAATCTCAACAAACGTTGTCATTAAAATAAATATATAACAAATTCGTTATACGCAGTACATATCTGACACTATAAGTTACGCATATTTCTAAATACAAATTTAATCTAAATAGCATTCATATTAAAACTAAATACATAACAATAAATTCGTTTGAACAACAAAGCCTTCATACTATAGAAATTACAGGCATATCATAAACACTATTTATATTGTTGCGTCAGCGAGGTCACGTGACTAGTATCACACCACCTTCTTCTAGAAATATCCTGTTCCTTCGTGAATTGTCGGGAGACTACGAGATTGGGGGTAGCCTGGTATATATAAAACGGTCACAACGTGACGGAACAATGAGTAATTGAACTGCAGTCAGAGAGTGTGTAATTGAACTGAGTATTGTTGAAGTCGAGCACGTGAGATGTTTGTTATAGCGCAATTGTTGAAATTAAGTGTATCGAAAAGTTGTATTCGGAAAGAATAAACCAGTTTTATTTAGGAAAGGACTTGTGTCGCTAAAGTTTCGTCGAAACGAATTTACGGAAAATTAACGAACGAACGGAGACGTAACAATATATAGTTTTCTTCTTCTTCTTGTCAAAAGTCCACTTAGGCCTATTCAATTACTTTTGAATTTCAATTGACAAGTTGAACTATCTTCTGTATATTACTATCATATTTAGATTCTGTGTATGATTCGATTCCAATTACAGTTGTTTCACAAGTTACCGTAATTCGTTTTATCTTCTTTCTTCGGAAGATCCTCTGTTCCTTTTGTCAAAGGGTACACAGGCTGATTCAGTTAGTTAAGAACCACGCTTTGACGGAAGAAAATTATCCTTCTTATCTTTTTTTTATACTGTTAGTTTCACTCTAACATATTAAATGTTAGGCCTATGTCAGTCGTTAGAACTATCACTTTTACGTTACGTCACTTCACATCAACCATATACTCTTTGCTTTTATCTGTCTGCTGGTTCCCGCTCGTTTCACGCTATTGTTGCATATCTGCTCGTTTGTTAATTTCCGAGGAACTTCAGCGATACAAGTCCTTTCTTAATTAAAACTAGTTTATTCTTTCTCGATACAACTTTGTAATACACAGAATTTCCACAGTCACTTTCAACTTAACAACCTTTAACACGCTATAAATCACAGTGATTCACACACTTTACTTACGTGTTTACTGTTCGCTTGACTTAATTGTCTCTATCTTCAATCTATCTGCATATCTATCTATCTATGGCTTTATTTGCCGGGCTTATATACTAAAAAATAGGGCGCCTGGGAAACACTCGGACATTCGTGACGTTCCTCGATAACTCATGATCCTTCTAGAAACTCCAGAGCGCATTCTCCCAGCGTTGCGTGTCTTCCGGTGTCGTAACACTATTTATATTGTTACGTATCTGCTTGTTTGATAATTTCCAGTAGAAATTCTTTCCGAGGAACTTCTGTGATACAAGTCCCTTCTTCATTAAACCAGTTTATTCTTTCTCGATACAACTTTTTGTAATACACAGAATTTCCACAGTCACTTTAAACTTAACAACATTTATAACACACGCTATAAATCACAGTGATTCATACACTTTACTCGGACATTCGCGGGGTTCCTCGATAATTCGAGAAAGTTCAGCGCGTATGCTTTCAGCGTCACGCAACTTCCGCTGTCGTAACAATATCATTATTACATAAGTCGTCTTGCTACTTTCTATATTCTCTACACCAATTAGTTATTAACAATACCTTCTACAATCGTCTGCTTTTAACTTTTATTATATCAAATCTTGAAAATAATAAAATATTCACTCACACATATAAATTAATCCCCAGGATTTAAACCAAATAATCTTTTTATATTATGACACACATGAATTTTAAGTATTACCTTTATATAGTGTTTTTTTAATATTTATATTTAAGTACTGACAATATAATATTTTAGATTAACACTAGAGGGCAGTTAAATGTCACGTGAGTCAGAGTGTAAGTGGGCTGAGACATGAATAAAGCTTGGGAAGGAAGATCAGTGTTATTTAACCGAAAAGTTTTTTTTAAAGTTAGAATTGTATTTAGATTAGAAAATGAATGTATGTGCATGATGTTGGAGAGTGACAGAAGTAAGCCTCCATAACTATTAGCTTAGGTTTACTTTAATTAAAGAAGTTTGATATCCTATCTTAGTTATTATACAACATAAATTATAATGTTAAGACTTAATGCATAAAAGTAAAATCAAAACTATTTTATTAATTTAAGTTAGTAATATTTTATCTTTATTATTACTAATAATTACAGTTTAGCTTGTCAACAGATCTATGGGTTACTACAATTACGTAATCACTGGAATTAACATCGTCCTTGAATGAGACATCTTTTTCTTGTGCTAGTAGAAAATAATGATAAATATTTATCAGTATTTAATTTTTAATAATAATAACTTTTTGATGAAATATTAAATTTTCTTATTGGATGAGACCATCTGTAGTGCTAGCAATGCTATTAGTATTACTGATAATGAGTTCCAAATTTTCACACCCTTGCACTGTATACTTACTGTTAACCAGTCATTGATTTTTATTTCTATGTAAGAATAGTATGAGTTATAGTTGTATCAGTTTTAATCACAATGAAATATTAATGAATGACAAAAGTGGCCAAAAGATATCGGTAACAGTAATAAATGTCAGGCTGAATTTAAAGTATTGGAGGAAATTTATTTCATTGCTTGTTTGAGGAGCTTTATCAAAATTAAAGTTGCTGATTTTATATCATGTTTGGCTGTTTTCCTGGTTGGTGTATTCTTTAAAACTAGATTAAATGTTCTGGTTTTGTTGCATATCTTTAGTGCCAAGAGAATACAGCTGATTGAAGGTTTTTTATCTCTGAAATATATATTTAAAAAGAGATTCAAACATTTTGGGAACCATTTTCCAAATGGAATTCCTTATGAAATTGAAGGAACTAGGTATTAGAAATGAAGTTTACAGTAGTACAGGTTATACTTTAATCAAAATTGAACAGCAGTATTTAACAGGTATATTTAATTTTTGACACTAAATTTCTGACTGTCCAGATTTATAATTACTACTCTTCTGTACAAAATGGGTATTTTTTTTAGAATATTAAGCAGTTTTAAGCTTACATTCCAGAGCTATGCCAGAAGGTGCTGGCAGAACATGAAAGCATATTTGCTTATCATAAGATCATTTGAAGCCCAAATAAATTAGTACAATTTTTTTCAAATGGAGGTCAGTTCCTAATTAAATGGTTTTTCCATTGAAAAGAGGCTGAATACAGGTGTTTAAGAGATGATTTATTTTATTTTGAAACTTTAAATTTAGGTTTTGATTTGACATTTTTTTGTCGAAGTTAAAAATTGCTGTATTTCACCTTTTCATAATTAGAAACAAATGTATCTTTACTTAGATATACTCAACTATACTTTTTAGCTTTGCATTTAGTTAGTTGTCGTCCTCATAAAAAAAAAACGTGAAAGAGTCTTAAACAATTTTGAAAGTTATTTGAAGACTTCGATTATGAATCTGTAATGATGTCAAGAACAAGTAGTTTCAAATGTAATACTAGCCTAAAAGTTGACCAACGATACTTCAAACTATTTCTGCACAACTTCATAACTTGAATAATGACATAAAAGTATTGAGTATCCTATAATACCTTTTAAATGTTTCTTACATTTTTTGCAATTTCTTTAAACTGAGGAGAAATCTTGTATTGTCATTAATCTGATTGTAGTTGCACATCTTATTTGTATGTCTTTGACTTGCATACTGCAATGATATATTTCATTGCTATTTTGTCGAGAATAGGATTTGGTTGTATCTATTAAAACTTACTAGGATGTCTAATATTAAACTAGCTAACCTTTTTTAAGAACTGAAGGGTTTTTTTGGTTTTCTCACTAGAAACTAGTTTATAATTGCAAGTGTATGTTAAGTACATAGACATGTATGTTCACTGATTCTGGCTATCTTTAAGTAGATAGTTTCTCAACACTCAATAATGAGTTAGTATATCTCATCACAAGAAATGTAAATTTTAAGACTTGGTTAAACAAGGATAATGACAGACATCATATTGATGTGCGATTTCAAAAAACTGAATGATTTGGATATTTTGGTGCATAAAAGGTCTTCACATGTAGAAAAGAATTTGGAAGTCTCATTAGTGAGTTATACATTTGACAGAGAGAAATGAAACTTTGTGCACAATGGTTGATAGGTTAATTCATCCTGGAAACAGAAATTTAGTAGCTCATGTTGAATTGATGGCAAAGTTTGATTCTGTAATAAATGAACACATTTGTTGTTTTGTAAAAAATCAAATTACTTATCCTTCCTGAAGTCCAGAGTGAGCTAATACAGATGTTCTCAAAACATGTCATTAATACAGTTGTTTTAAATATTAAACATGTAGAGTATTATTGTATAATGGTGGAGTGTAACCCTTGATGTTAGTCATAGAGTAATTAAAATGTGTATTACCAAATGTTAGTAAATTAAACTGTATAAAAAATTATGTTAATACAGAAATTTGTATTTCTTATTAGATAAGGCAGATTTACACTTTTGCACCAAACTAACATATATATTGAAAGAGACTATAATTAAGCACATTTCAGGAGGCTTAGAATTTTAAGGCAGTGTATGTACATATTAATATAGGAAATTCTGTTTACTGGTTTTTTGATTCATTTGTTCTGTTGTACGAGCTTAAAAGGTAGTAGTTAGTTTTTAAGCCTGTAATAAATCTTTGGTAAATTATCAAGACACTATGATGGGACAGAGAAATGGTATCAGTTCTACTAACATTGATTTTTGTCATGTGTGAGACATCTAAGTTATAGTTCTAACTTCAGCATAATTTATCTCCACAAAAAAAGCTTTTGAGGTAAAAACCAGCATAATATGAAGTAATTTTTACAAGGAAAAAACATATACATAGGGATAACTTCAGCATTTGTAATGTTTTTCATCATACTTCATTTTACAAATGTTTTTAAATGCAAAACATTCACTAAAAAGCAATAATCTATGAAAAATAACACAAGCCTGTGATTGTTTTGTTATCTTGAAATTTTTACATGTCCTACAGTAATTCTTTTATGCTGAATCTGAAAATATCCATTTTTCTAAATCACATACAAATTTTTCACAAAATGTCATAATGCAGTACATAAAAGAAAGACCAGAACATACAGTTTTGAGACTAAAGACGTAGAATTCACAAAGAAAAATCAGGATGAATGAGGATGGATATTCATTTGACATCAGTGTTCTTCCCTTTTATTCAGTTTGTTTGTATTTTTGTTAACAAACATGATAATAAAAAATGTTCATTGTGGTAAACAAAATAATAATTTGATGTAAGTTTTTTTCTTCCCAATTTGTAACATTTGTAAAAAAATGAATATTATTTTTGAAATCTGCATAGCTGAATTATAGGAAATCAGTTATTAAAACCAAAACAACTTTTATGAAGTTTAGATTTGCAAGCGTTTGTAATAAAAACTAACAATTGTATATTATTCATCTTTGTTAGACTTCTTTTATAATTGAAACAATATTACATGTAGAATAACCATGAAAAATACACAGGTTGAGTACATTATATTAAAATACTCTGATGTGTTAATGATGTTATTACACTTGAAAATAATGCGAAGAGTTATTTTTTTAAATCATCTAACATTGTTTTTATAATTTTTAAGCATAATATATTTAATTCTTACTTCTTGATATTCATGTAATATATTTTTATATTTGTTCCAAAATATTTTAATATATACTTATAATACCCAACGAGCCTTAAACAACAATGGTGCATTGCAAAACAAAATCACCAGGATACAGGATATAATATTAGGTATATAAAATTTGTCCTGGTTTTTGGAGGTGACTGCAGAAGTAGGTCCCACATAGTGATGGGGATACACCATTTATGAGTTTTAACCTCTTTTTTTTTTCATAAAGCCTGACATGTAAATAAATAGTATTACAGTAAAACAAGCAATCTGAGAGTTTGCATGCTCTACTGGTTTATTCAGGTTATAGGGTATCATATCATAATGTTAAATTGATTTCTTGAACCTGTGTGTTTTCCTGACATCATTAACATTTCATTCTCCAGTTGCTTGAGGTGTTCAACTCATGAATAAATGTCTTGGAAGCAGTGTATGTTTCTTTGCTGTATAGAGATTGTTCTTGATTATGTTGTCATGGGCATGTGGATGACTTTTGCCACTGATCTGTTTATGGATTTTCACTTGTTACAAGATTCCGTACTTTGTTTATTTTGGTTGGGATAAGACTGTTTTGGAAATTCTGAACCCCTGATGTGAACACATCTTTGTAATCTGAGTGTGTGAATATTTTGTATCTGAAAGGACTGTTATGAACCACCTTCTCAAGAGTGATAAAGTTTTGGTTACATCACACTAATTATGGAACACCAAACAATATTAAAATATAGTTCTGATACGTGCATTTCCACTACAACTTTATATAGGCTATTGTCACATGATTTGTGCATTCAAAATTATTTTAATATGATGTACTCACTATCTGTGGTTCTATTCTCTAGAAGTAAATCCTTACTGAAAACATTGCCTGTTATCACAAAATTTAGTTTATCTAAAGCATTCATATTGATGCATACAGTTGTGTATTTTTGGTCTTTAAAATTGAATTATTTTGTTCTCACAGGTGATTCGTACATGCAAGGACATCATCATTTAGTTTCCTTCTGAAGAGTTGGCACAAACTTTGAGAAAGAAGCATTGCTGTATTGTTAAGTCATTGTTTCTTTGATATTTTACTCAGACATAAAGAAAAATGAAGACTGAAGTTGTTAAATTGATTGTCCTTGCAACACTCTTGGTGGTCACATTTTTTGCCAGTATGCTACCTCTATCCATCGCAAGACGAATTCGTATGACTCTAGACCCTACAAGACGACTAACTCGTCAGAGGATTATTAGCTTTCTTAGTTGCTTTGGTGGTGGAGTTTTTCTTGCCACTTGCTTAATGGACCTGTTTCCAGAAGTTCAGGAGCAATTGTTAAACGGAATGGATAAGCTGAATATCAAAACAAGCTTTCCTTTCTCAGAATTTGTCATGATATTTGGATTTTTAATGGTATTGACCACTGAACAGGTAAGCAAGTATGGTTACACAAGTGTACTTTCAACAATTAAGTTAGAAAACCTGTATACTTTTTCTGAATGAAATAAAGGTTATGCTTGGTCTAAACATATGTGAATAATATAAAGACATTTTTATGGTTTTGCAGTAGAAGTTAATTTTCATTAATAACATTAAAAACTCCCTTCTTCTGAATATTACGTCTTTTGATTCCATATCTTTAACAATCTCTGTAGGAATGTTTCTTATTGGAAATGACTGAGATAGTTCTCCAGTCATAACTTCACCTGTGGCTGAATTACATATCAAATGGTTGGAAATTTGTTGTGAACCAAATATATTGGTTCTAATTTTCAACCCCTGTCACCACATTCTGTTTATATGGTGGCAAGCTACTGCAGTGGCACATGTAAATTTTGTCCTGTGTTTTGTTGTTCCACCAGTACTGTATATTAGAGGCATCATATAATTATATCAGTGTGTTGAATATAATTATACATCACATGAAACAAAGAACAATCAAGTTTTGCAATGTGAGGCAAAACAACCGCTTTAAATTGATTCATGCCCTCCTCTCTCTTTCACACAAGTTCATGCTATGAATTGTATATCTATAACTATTTCAGGACATGACTGACTAACATGCACAATCTCACACAAGAAAATCAATCAATGCACAGCTAAAGCTTATGCAAGCAGTAACCATGACAAGACAAACAATTCAACCAAACTTGGTGCATACGATTCAACATGAAAACCCAAAATGTATTGAGCTAAAGAAACATTGGATTATCCCTCAGTTATTCTTAATTGTGATGGGAATTATGTTCACTGTAGTTACTTGCAAGAAAGCAGAGAAATCAATTTACTTACCTTGCAAAAAAAACGTATTTGTCTCAGATGCCACCTCGTATTTAAATATAATAAATTTCAAAACAACCAGATTATACTTGTCTGATTGTTCTCTCTGAGTGAAATATCCAATACCTAGCCATGGTTATTTAACAACTTGAAGCATTCAAACTATGATTCACTTCATAATTACAATGGAGACAAGACTATTAGAAACCATGGCAGTTACAACCACATGATTCATCCATGTTAGTCAGTCATGTCCTGAAATAGTTATCATGTTAGTCAGTCATGTCCTGAAATAGTTATCCTGATAATTTTAAATAGACATTATTAATTTTATACTAAACTAACATACTTAGCACTTAGTGTTGTGTAATTTGTTTCCGTGGCAGTGATGATTGCGATGGTCTTTTTAACAAGTTTTATATTATCAAGCCAATGTAGAAAACTAAAATACTGCATGAAAAAACTTGAGTCCAGCACCATTGTTTAACCTGTTTAGACAATAATGGTCATGAACGTTCATGTTGGTGTTAGCTGTGGCAAAATGACCAATTTCACTGTTCTTGTCATATCAAAAGTAGCAAATAGTAACTTCTGAAATGTGTACAAGGAGATAAACACAAAAAATTGGCTAAGGTCAAGTTTAGTTCTTATCTGTTCTACAGAACAGAGAGTGAAAATAAATCCAGTAGCAGTACATTTTCTGCCAGTTCTTATTTATCTGGTACAGTAACTAATGCATCTGTTATTTCAAAATCCTGCTCTAAATTATCCCTACTTTTCCCTGCTAAAAGCACTACCTTTTGAAAAACTTTGCCTAACTATTATATATACATACAAAGTCCCTATTTTTCCTGAGGGGTCTGTTGGAAGGCATGATACTATATTGATTTATTGATTTTGTTTATAGAAAATGATTTAGTAGTATATGCCCACGATTAGAGAGTTGCAGGTTCAAGACATACCACTGTTTGTCGCAACTTCCACCAGGAAAGAAATTCACAAAACTACAGGGTATGGTATTACAAGCATAACACATACACAGTGTAGAAAAAGTAAATTTATAGTTTATTTAACACTAAAAAAATAGTAAACTTACACTTGATTTAACATGAAAGTAGTCTGAGAGTTAACAGTTGGTGCTGCCAATCAGTTGTCATCCTTCTAGTTGGCAATTCAAAATTCAAATGATAGCTTTGTAAGCTTTACCAGTAACTCTAAAACAAAAAAATAAATATAACATATTTATGGCTGAAGGAGATAGCAGGCCTGACAACAATAGGAATTGAACTTGAGACCATCTAATTACAGGGCAACCTCTCCCCTCCCCATCTGATCAGTAGGTCATGCCAACCTGAAGCTATGTAAACTTGAATTAATCAAAATAATAATAATGAGAAATCATACAGGCAGTATTTCAAACAGTTGAATAGTGGGAATAATTGGAAACCCTGATTTTGGTTAGTTATTTTTGTGAATTATGACACTAACAAACTTGAACTAATTAAAAACAGTAAGGAGAAATCTTAATGTCAATATTTTGATTGCTTGGATAGTTGAAATAATAGAAAGTAGTAATAATTTAGATTATTCTTGTTACATGAATTGAGTCCATTGCCCAGCTGTAATAGTCAACAGACTTTGTGTAGCTTGTAATTTTGCATTAGACATATGAAAAGACTCTTCAATTTTTATTTGGTCTTTTGCATATACACTTACAGTGTATATAGACAGGTTAATGTACGTACATGTTGTGAACTAATTATTTTTTCCATTTTAACTTAGATTAACTTTCAATCTTGTTTTTTAAAAAGAAAATAATGGAAGGAAATTGGAATAAAATTGAAAATGAATCAGAGAATGAAATATACACACTAATGGATTAGTGAGATGAAAATGATCAACTTTAAAGTCTGTCTTATTTTTGTTTAGATTATTCTGACCTGGAAAGAAAGAAGTCCAGAAATGCATCCTCTCCTTAGTCATGGTCATAGTCATAATCATAACGTAGTTGATTCAGACCACTCAGCTTCTCCTGCTTTTGATCATCAGTCCAGTATTGAGAGTGTGGGAAGTCTGGAAGGTATTAGCAACCATCCACACCCAGAAGATCACATTTCGTTTTCTGTACATGAAGATCCTAGTTCTCATTCTACTCTGCGTTCAGCATTATTAGTTTTAGCTCTGTCTCTGCATTCTGTGTTTGAAGGACTAGCTATTGGACTTCAGCCTAATGTAGAAGATGTACTAAAAGTTTTTGGTGCAGTTACCATACATAAAACTATTATAGCTTTTACTCTTGGACTAAATGTAGTTCAGAGTAAATTTTCACACAAAACAGCAATTATATGTATATCACTATTTTCTGTAATGGCCCCATTAGGTTTAGCTATTGGCCTTACTATCATGAATGTAGTCCAAGGCAGTGGAATAGCACTGACTAGTGGGGTGTTGCAGGGTCTTGCCTGTGGTACATTTCTGTATGTTACTTTCTTTGAAGTCCTACCACATGAACTAAATTCTAGCCATGATCGTCTTCTAAAGCTCATCTGTGTTATTCTGGGGTTCGGTGTGGTTTGTGTACTTGTTGGGCTTCAGCCTGATTAATGATGAAAAAACTTGGAACATAAGAAAATAGGTGCATACATTTTCACACTTTCAATTTTATTTTGTCTTTTATTTATTCAAAGGTTGAATAACCTAAGTATGTAGAAACTCGTACCATGTATTTCTTACATATAATTTCAGTTTAATGAATGACCATTACCCTAATTCATTGGTTGAACTTGGTATTTTAGAAATTGTTTAATAAAAGTTGAGACTGTTTGTAGATCTATATGTTTTATTACTTTATATGAATACTTCATCACAAATATAAACTGACTCTTAAAAGATCATTTTAAATTTGACTAACCAGAAGTTTTCTTTTACAACTTTATGGAGAATGTTGTTATTCATAAATCTTATCTAATGAATCTCTAATGAAGGTGTGAATCAAAACACTGACTTAGTAAATGTTCCCATTATAAATCAATGCATTGACTTTGTGTTCAAGTAGCAGACATTAACTAGCTAATACTCAGTTTGGTTAAAAGTGTAGTTGTGTTGTAACTCGTGTTGGTGGTGTTAGTATAAATTTCTTTCTTTTTGTTAAGTCTTCACCTTCTTCATTATGAATTGTCAGTAGGGCTGGATCGTAAAATAATTGAGTTGATGCACTCTTAGGTTGGAAGTCAACAAATTTAATGATTTTTTAAAGTATATTTTTTAGCAAGTTTTAATATTAAATACATATGTGTTTTAAGACAACTTATTGCAAAAGCAACAAAAACAATTTTGTTTTTGTCAAAACAAAATCAAGTCAACCATTATTGTACACCCATGCTGTACTTGTAATAAACTTAAGTTATAGAAAGCATTTGGTTATTACAATAACATTTCATTTTTTCTAAGCTTTCAGTTCTAACTTCAGGAAAAAAAAATGTCATCCTTAAATTAACACAAGTTTTAAAAAATCAATTTCATCATTTTCTCCCTTACCTTCAACAAGTGATCAAAATAAGTAGAAAAGACATGAGTACAAATGTACTGTAATTGTGTAGCAAAATGAATTAACAAATGGTAAAATTCAAAACATCTGTTTCCATGTAATTTATCAGAAACTTGGCACTGTAACAACAAAAAACTGTAGTAAAGAGAAAATGTATTTCTTTAGGTCATGCAATATATTTGTAGTTCTTTTCCTTACTTCATTTTTTGACTTTTTATAGAAGAAATAGTCCTGTATTTTTAAGAGTCAAATCTATATTGTGCATAATAGGTAATTATGATTTGTTAGTTTTTGCAAAAGCTATTAATGTGATTCACTTGTAATAATGCTATTTATTCCATGTATCACACTTGATATGTTGAATATTTGAAGAAAAGGGGAGCATCTTTTAATATGACGAATTTTCATTCCCAGGTTGTTGACTTTTAATAAAGATTTTTGTCATATATTATTTAAAATTTCAATTGTATATGCTGAATATCAATTAAAGAATCCAAAATGTAAGGAGCTTCTTGTCAATTAATTTGAAACTTACTGCACGTTCAAGAAACACATTACTGTAGATGAAATTTAATGATAGTTACACATAAGTAGTAATATAAGTTTATCTTATGCTACCCCTGCATTTTATAGAGATCCATGTAAAAAAAATAGGTGATATTTTCTTTAATTATTGTAACTGTTCCATTCCATATTTTATTATTACAGTTACCCTTACTATAAAAACTTGTTCGTTATTGAAGCAAATGCAAGAGATTTATTTCAGTGAGGAAAATAAGTAATCATTGAAACTCTAAGGATGAATAGAATGTGTTAGTACATTTACATATGAAGTGTGTCATTAAAACACCACCAATATAATCTATTGAACGGTTTTAATGTTATTTTATCTTGTTTGTTCGTTACACAAAATGTTTTTATCAGCTTTTGTCTTTAGAGTTAGCAGTAGTGTACCAGAGAAGTTAAATCTGTTTTGTGCACAGGCACAATCATGATTTATTCAAGCTGTTCAACGAAGAATTTTTCCTGAGTTTTTCAATACACGAAGAGAGAAAAAGAGTTCTCCACTCTTTATTTGTTGTATTGTAGCAAGTAATTTTGCAAGATCAATATAACGACCTTTGATATGTCAGTTCAAAGAGGAGATGTTGATCTTTGGACGAGGAAGTTAGCGATCCAGGCTGGTAATCATGTGACCATAAGAGCATGATTATATATTAATCCTAAAATTGCCGCTCGGGGACCATCGGCTTTATTCGGGCATTTTTCTAAACTGTTTATATACTACGTTATTTGTAGGTCCGTGTTGTTGTTGGTTACAAGGTCTGTAATAACAACAACAACAACAAAGATATTGCAGGTATAATCTACTAATTATTGCTGGGGTCTCCTATTATTTCACACTGTTATTTTATCAACTAGTCTGCATAGAATATCGAAACATGCAAACAAAATTACTCGGTATGATGTAATATGTTGATCTCATCGATAGTACTCGTTATAAAAAAAACACATTATAATTTCAGGTTTAAATAATGCTTCTGTTACGACATCGAGGTCACGTGACTAGTATCACGCCACGTCATTCTCAAACTTTTACGTCTTTTTCCTTAAATCTCGTGATCTTTCTAGATATAGTGTAGTGTTGTATATATATATAAGAATGGCCATGAAGCGACGGGAGACGGTGAGTAATTGAACTGCAGTCAGAGAGTGTGTAATTGAACAGAGTATTGTTGAAGTCGAGCACGTGAGACGTTGTTATAGAGCGAC